AGGGCTGGGACAGCCTGCTGGGTCCTGGAGCTGAGAGACTGCCCCTGCACAGTACCCCCAAGGGTGGGCCAGCACCAGGGCTGCAGCCTTTGGGGGGCAATGGAAGCCCAAGAGGCCAGGGCTTCTTGGAAACAGAACCGGGGTGGTGGCTGTCCTAGCTGCCTACAGTCTCTGAGACTGATAGACTGCCTTTCTTTGACAGATGTGGGTCCAGGGTCTGGGAAGGTCCCTTGGCCAGGAGACTTTGGGACTACAACAAAGGAGAGTAGTGGTAGTGGGCCCCTTGAAGAGCGGCCACGGGAGAATGGAGATGCCCTATCTCGGGAAGGGTCTCTGGGACCTCTCCCAGTCCCTCCTAGCCAACCTCACAAAGGTGAGTCTCTCCTAGCTCCTCCACTCTCATATTCTCCTGTTGGGATTCTCTAGGATGCCCCAGCGCCTCCCACCTGCAGCTCATGGTACCCACCTCGTCCCCAGGCATCCTCAAGAAGAAGTGTCTTCCCACCATCAGCGAAAAGAGCAGCCTCCTGAGGCTGCCCCTGGAACAGGGCACAGGATCTTCTCGGGGATCCTCAGCCAGTGATGGCAGTCGGAACGGACCTCCCCCCCGCCCACCACCACGCCAGAGCCTCCAGGAACAGCTAAATGGGGTCATGCCCATCGCCATGAGCATCAAGGCAGGCACGGTGGATGAGGACTCGTCGGGCTCCGAGTGAGTCGGGTGGGGTGGGAGGTAAAGGGTGTTACCTGCAGAGGCTGGGGCAGAGCTGCCTCCGAGCTTCAGCGGGCTACTCTGTCAGGCCGTTGGAAGACAGAAGGGCTAAGTGGAGTCCAGCTCCTTTATGCGCCCTGACACCATGGTGCTCTGTTTCGGGGTATACCAGACCCCCTGGGCTTTAAATGCTGCAGCCCAGTCCTGGGCAGCATGAGAGGGTGGGAGCTGGGGCTGCTTTTCTGTTTCTTTCTCTGGTGGAAGCTGCTCACTGTCCCCTCTGCTGCTCCAGCTAACCCTCTGTCTGCTTCTCTGCCACTCTCCTCTCCTGCCTCTCCAGATTTCTCTTCTTTAACTTCCTGCATTAACCCTGGGCCGGTGTTCCTTCGTGGGTCCCGAAGCTCCCCTCCCTTCCCTGCTGCGCTCATGCCCCACTCCTGTCTTCTGCTTTATCCTGCCCCTGCTCCCTCTGCCTGCCGAAGCAGCGATGAAACGTCCATCTGAGGAGCCCGGGCCTTGCACCTAAGGCCATCTAGTGCCAAGTCCCTCCCCCACCTCCCCCCTCACTGCACTTTGGACCCCTGGGGCCAACATCTCCAAGACAAAGTTTTTCAGAAAAAAAAGAAAAAAAAAAAGAGGAAAAAAAGAATTTAAAAACGGATCTCCACTCTTCATGACTTCAGGGATTAATTTTTTTTATACGCTGAAAATGGATTCCCTTTCCCTTCCCAAAGAGGATAGGACCTCCCAGGACGTGTCCCAGCCTCTTTTCAGTCTCCCATCTGCTGTGCCTCTGGGAGGAGAGGGACTCTTAGGGGGCCTGCCCCTCATTTGCCATCACCAAAAGGAAAGGACAAAGCCACACGCACCAGGGGCATGAGCCCCTGCAAGGCTGCACCGGACAGGCCTCAGTTGGTGAGGGGTCAGGACAAAAAAGGCATTTCCCATCCGCCAATTCCACCTCTCCCAGGAACTGAAAAGCCCTGTCCGGCCAGGGGCAGAAGGACTCATCCGCCCCTGGACCCCCAAATGCTGCATTTTCCCTTTTAAGGGGAAGCCTGTGCCCGCGGCCAGGGGCAGAAGGACTCATCCGCCCCTGGACCCCCAAATGCTGCATGAACCATTTTAAGGGGAAGCCTGTGCCCCCCACATGGGGAATGACTACCCCAGCCCCTCTCCTTTTCCTGGACTCTGGCCGTGTGCTACAGTCCAGGTGTTTGCTCAGTTTGCTGACCCCAAAGTGCTTCATTTCTCCCGCCCGACCTTCTGGGGAGGGCCAGTCATGGTTAAGTTGCGCTTCTTTGCTGTGTGTGTGGCACTGGGAAGAAGAGCAAGCACTGAGCTGGCTTGCTGGCCCTGAGGGGCCTCAAGCACAGGTTTCAAGTCTGGGTTCTGGTGCCCACTCACCCTTCCCTCCCAAATTAGACAAATGCCGTTTTGTCTGACCTGCTGTGGCCTCTGAGACATGTTCTATTTTTAACCCCTTCCTGGAATTGGCTCTCTTCTTCAAAGAACCAGGCCCTGTTCCTTGTCCTCCTACTTGACCCCAGCTCCCTGTGAAGAGAGAGTTAATATATATTTTTATTTATTTGCTTTTTGTGTTGGGATGGGTATGTGTCCAGTCCCAGGGGATCTGATGCGGCCATTGCAGGCTGGGTGAGTGTCCAGCGGACCTGGATTTGGGGCCTACCATCCTTCCTCTTGCTCTACTGCTCCCCTCAGTTTTTGACAACCGCTGTTCATTTGAGTCACCCTTTTCTCTAAGCATGTATCCCAGACTTGTCACTGACTTCCCTTCTAAAGCAGGTGGCTAGAACCAAGGCTCCGGGCAGGAAAGATGTTCCTGTTCCTCAATTGGCCTCTGGCTTTTCTGCCATGGATTCTCACCTGCCCTCTGCCCTCAGCAATTCCTATAAAGGGTTAAAAATTTAACTGGATTTTTTTTTTAACTACTTATGACTTGACTTAAATACAAAGATGCTGGAAGCTCACTTGATACTAACCATCAGATTGTACAGTTTGACTGTTGCTGTAAATATGGTAGAGTTTTGGTTTTGTTTTTGGTTTCCCCCCATACTACTGAATAAACTAGTTCTGTGCAGACACTGTGTCATCATCATTGGCTTGTGTTGCAACCTGGGTGGAGGCCAGGATTTGGGGAAACAGGAGTCTAAAGCCATATCAGCACATAGCCCTGAGCCTGGCTGTCTAAAGGAAGATACGGTGGGTGGGTGGGTAGGAGGGTATCTTTCTCCCCCAGGATATAGAACTGGCATGGCCCAAGAGGCTCTACAGATCAGGCTGAATCCCAGATAGGAACAACTTTTCTGGGGCAGAATTCAGTGGCTAGGGAGGGATGAGTGGCAAGTGGGAATTTGTGGCCATTTTTTATTTGTTCTACTGGAGAATGAAGCACATACTCATTCTGGGGATAAGTCTGTGCTTGGTAACATCGCTGCTAGTCCCACATTTGTTCATCAAAGGTCCATCCAATAAAATAGAACTTACCATGGGGCAGGATAGGGCTGAAATTCAAAACAAACCCCAGAACCAGAAGTGGCCTAATTTGAGCCTTAGTTCCTAGGTCTACAAAATGAAGACAGTGGTAACAGCATTCACCTAATTGAGCTTTTATGAGGTTTAAATAACTTAACACATGCAAAGTGCTTAAAACCATTCACAGTGCATACCAAGAGGCCAATAAACACCTGCTTTCTCAGTTGTTGCTTAAGGATCGGGAGGGGTGGTGGATAGACAGTATGCAGATGAAAAAATAGAGATCCAGGCCAAAGGGAAGGAAGCAGGCAGACAGCTGAACAAGAAAAGCGGCTGTGGCAGGTAGGCACTACCAAACGAATGCCACTTCAGCACGTTTGGAGCAACGCTGGGTGGAGGCAGAAACTCAAGACTGACCCACCGTGAGGGGAACATGCCTTACCGGCTCCAGCCATCAGGTGGCAACAGCACAGGGGTCTGCGGCTGGCTTTGCTTCTTCACCACCCACAGGGACTTGATCAAAAAAGCCCGCCACCTACTGGCCATGCCTAGGTGTGTGCTCTTACTTGATACTACAGTCGCCAGTCAGAGGCAAGGTCACCAGCTCCTTCTATTCTGAGTCTGTGCTATGACCTATCCAGAGGATGGAGGCTCAGACTGGAAAACAGGACAAGCAAAGCCTAGAAAACCTCAGATCAAGAGGACTTAGCTACTGACTGGTTGGTAAGTTTGCCCTCTCTATGGCCCACCTAGTAGAACTCCCCCCAAAGTCTCAACAGAGCCCTGGGCCAGGCTGACTGGAGGAAGAAGAGGTAGGCAGGAGGCTGGGAAACACACCTGCGGTTCTGTTGCCTCATGGCAAGCTTCTCCAGAGCAAAACACATGGCATCTGTGTATATTCTTAGAAATTTCAGGGACTGTAGGAGCTGGTGCTCAAGACTCAGGGAAAGAAGGTAGAGGCAGCCACTGCTGTGTGTGGGCCCTGTGCGCTTACAGGTGTGTTAAATGAATGAGTCTTAAGGGCAGCCTAAAAGAGGAAGACTGTGGCGGGCTCCTGAATGTGGGGATGGGGAGGACCACTGACGGCCTAAGGAGGGCACTTGTGGCATGCAGGCATGGGTGGAGATAGTGCCCAGCAGTGCCCTTTCCCACTGCCTTTGGGGAAGTTTCTACCTCACAAGGAATCAATTTAGTTCTGATCGAAAGAGTCAAAGGCTACAAGACCCAGGAGCCCCTAAGCTGGGCTTGTTAGAACCATATCATTTCAACAAGTGCCCCACCGTGGGCTCACTCCAGAGGAGTTCAGTGCTCCACCACACACAAATCACAACACAAGGGCACCATGTTATAATTCTGATGCCGGCCCAGCAGGGGAGCAGACAGGAAAGGACAAGCAACTCTATAATGATGTGAGATAGCTCTGACTAGGCGTTCTGGTATCTTCTGGCTGAGGTGACCAGGGAAGCTGAACATCACCAAAGGGCCTCTTTATCCCCTAAGGAACTCTTGTCTTGTCAGAAATAACATTCAGGTTTAAGATATGAGTAACAATACACTTAGGTCCTAGCATAACAGCCTCAGACACTGTGGATGAAACTACAGCTTTCATCCGGACTGTCTGAAAACATGAAATTGCAGAAAGGTGGCCTGATCCCAGTTGAATGGCAACAAGGGACTAGTCAAAGTCAGACGAGCCCTAGGACCTAGTGATCCGTCCACCCCGGCTCTTGTTACAATTACACAGAGGGTTACTTCAAACCTATTAAGATCTACTTTCAGATACACAGAAAAATATATAAAAAAATTCATTTTATTTAAGAAAAAGTTGCAGACTGATGAGTAAGCTTATCATTGATTGGCCTATGAGGAGTCACAGGAAACAAGCCCTGCAGGGCTGGTTTCTCCAAACAGGCCAGAATCCAGCGGAGGAAACGATTCAGAAGACCTCTCCTAGAGACCAGGGAGCCTGGCTAGTTCTGCAGGCCACTCACGAGTACATGGCTGGTGAACCACGGTGTGGGAAGAAGGTCAAGCTCTCTAGGGCTGACCACAAGTGGGGATGGAAGGAGCCAAGTCACTCTGCCTGCGTTTCTCATTTTGTTTGTGAATTTCTCTCCTCTCTTCTTTCAGCCAGGGTGGGGGTGGGAGGGATTTTAGCTCAACCTACTCCACCCTCCGTGGTCTCTACTTCGGAGCTCAACTCTGGAGGCAACTATTCCTCCCATCTCTGGGCAAGAATCTGCTGGAGTAAGGACTACTCGGAGAAGGGCCAGTCTTTGATGGCTAAGATGGTAGTGTAGTGGTTCGCTACTGAATACGTACGTGCTTGTTGTCCTGACTTTTTTTTTACCTGAAGAGACAGACAGGGGAACTGCTTTAGCATGCCCTTCCGCTCATGCCCATCTGGAACCCAGCCAAGTTCAAGCCCCTCAGGGTGGGAGAAGGCAGGCCCTCCCTCCCTTCTCTCCAGTCTCTCCCGAACTCCACACAGAAATTCAAGGATGCTGTGCACAGCAACTTGGAAGCCCAGCTGATGAGGCAGCGGGACCAGTCTTACCTAGTAGGTCCAGGGACTGCAGCTTTCCTGAGGGGCTGCATCCTGCCTCGAGGGGCACTGGGAGTTGGAAGATTGGTTCTCTGGGAAACAGGAGCTTGGTGGGAATAAACAAGAGATGAATCCGAGCACAGTTCAGCTGGCCTTCTCCAAAGGAAAGACTAAATGAAAGTATGTGCCTGCTGAACCCTGTTTTCCCATCTGCAAGTGGGGATGACCGTGTCACAACTGTAGGCGGGTAAGGCCAAAATGGGCCATGGCAGGCGTCCTTCTACCTAATACTTTCTCTTTTGTTTTTGTTTGTTTGTTTTTTAAGACTGGGTCTCTTGGGGGCTGGAGAGATGGCTCAGAGATTAAGAGCACTGACTGCTCTTCCAGAGGTCATGAGTTCAATTCCCAGCAACCACATGGTGGCTCACAGCCATCTATAAGATCTGGTGCCCTCTTCTGGCGTGTAGGCAAACATGCAGGTAGAACACTGTATACATAATAAATAAAATCTTTTTTAAAAAGAGAGAGAGGTTTTCTCTATATAGCTACAGCTGTCTTGGAATTTACTATGTAGACTGGGCTGACCTTGAACTCACAGAAATCTGTCTGCCTCTGCTTCCCAAAGGCTGGAATTAAAGGCATGCACCACCACGCCCAGGTCTAATTTTTTTTTTTTTTTGAGACATTGTTTTATATAGCTAAGGCTGACCTTGAACTCCTGACTCTCCAGCCTCTACCTTCCAAGGGAGATTACAGTCATGGCCACCATACCTAGCCTAACCATACATCCATTCTGTCTTACCTCTGTGCCCTGCAGAGCTTGGAAGCCCTTTCCGAGCTGAGAGAGAATCTGGAGGTAGGGTACTTTTGCCAGGTTTTGGTACACTCCGGCTAGTGAGTGGCATTCGAGTGGCGGGCCTGGGGATGGCTGAGGGAACCGGTAGTCGACTGGAAGACTTAGCAGCTGCTCCCTGTAGCCGGGATGAACATTGAGAGTTGCTAGTTGAGGGCTGTGGAGCTAGGACTGGCCTGACAGGGACTGGTGGGCCTGTGAGGAGGAGAAAAGACATTTCAGGGTGAGTCCCACCTCCTCTCTTTTCCATATCAGCTTCACCCATATCTTGGCTGCCCAGGTCTCACTTGCTGTTGTCCGTGCGCTGGGCCCAGTTTTCCGCCGGGGTGGAAGACTTGATTGTGCAAGAGGAGAGAGTGCTGGGCTTCTGGGTGCAGGGAACAGATTGCAAGTGGGTGATTCCTGAAACAGAGCAAGGAACAAAAAAATGACTAAAATGGAGACAGCATGTGCTCTGTCGGCTTAAGACATTAAGGAAAAGAAGTAGGAGGCAGGCCGTTGTCTAGAACCAGCGAGGAAGAGACTAGCTGCGAACAAGCTCTGTGGTAGGTGCTTTGTTTTGTATGTATTTGTTGTGTGTGACATATCCATGTATAATAACACACATGTGGAAGCCAGAGGACAGCTTATGGGCATCAGTTCTCATCATGTAGGTCACAGGGTTTGAACTCATGGTCATTAGGCTTGGTAGAATGTGCTGTCACTCACTGAGCCATCTCACCAGCCTATCAATATTTTTTGAAACATGGAAGTCATGTGGCCCAGGCTGATCTCAAACTCAGCACATAGACCTTGACCTGGACTCCACCTCCAGAGTCTTGGGATTACAAGTATGTATTTATGCATTTATGTGTACCACATGCATTCAGTGATGCTGGGACACAAACCCAGGGCTTTGTTTACTCAGGGCAAACACTACCCACCTGGCTCCATTTCCAACCCAATTTACTCAATCCCAACAATTCCAGGGGTAGAATACCTTTCTCCCTCTGAACAGTGAGGGAAACACTTCTATGCCTGCCTTCAATTCAGAGAGTGTCTCAAGCACCTTGTCTTGGGGCACACATGCAATTCTGCCCTCCATACTGACCTTTTTCGTGCTGGGGGGCTTCTTTCCAGATGTCACCCGAACAGCCCTGGCTGACCCCTTTTTATCACTGCTTCGGAGTCCAGTTAGGCTGCTTGGGGATGGTGTGCTCCAAGAGCTCACAGTGGGCAGGAGATCTCGGACAGGGCTGTCCTTGAGGACAAATGTCTCCCTTCGAGGGCTGGGCTTGGCTCTGGGGCTAGGCTTCCCAGGGCCTGCACCTGCACTCTCCCGGTCCTGCAGGGCACACTCCTCTAGCTGAGCTGCCAGGCGGTTGGCTTCATCAAGGATCTCCTCCAGCTTCTCCGGGCTGAGGGGGCCCAAACTGAACCTCACACCCTGGAGAGTGGGAGCTACGGCGGCATTGGGGTTACTGCGGTGAGAGAGGCCCCGTCGAAGTGGCTTCTCTGGGCTCACCAATACCGTTAGGTCTTCTTCCTCGTGACTGAAAAACAAATATGGCACCATGCCACACAAAAGATAGCAAAAGGCATTCCTGTAGTAGAGCCAGGGACAATCCCAAACCTGCCTTTAGGTAAGGAGATACCTGGTTCTACTGAGGCCCAGCAAGCCTTTAGCATCTCTATTTTCTTTTCATCCCCACTCCCCATTTCCTGAGACAAGGTCTCAACTCTGTAGACCAGAATGATCTCAAATTCAAAATCCTCTCTGCTTCCACCTCTTCGGGTCCATCCTGGGAGGGAGGGGGTGGTCTGCACACATTCCACGGGCATGCCTCGACATGCCCAGGCACATTCACCTTTCATTTACATAAACCCCGCATTTTCACTGCAACTTCTTCCTTCTCCTCACCAGCATCCGAGTTGTCCTAGAGGCCCAATTTCTCCATCTGGCATCAGAGCGTTCCTTCTCCTCACCAGCATCCGAGTTGTCCTAGAGGCCCAATTTCTCCAGACTGCTGGCATCAGAGCTCACTGTACCCTGCTAAATTACCAACCCCAGCTCTAGAGGCCAATTAGTTAACACTAAAGGGTTACAGCTAAAGATGTATTGTTGGAGGAAAATAATAAGTGAGCTAAAGGATTTGGTACCTGTCAGATGGGGACAGCCCTCCAAAGTCCAAGGTCTCATCCACAATGAATTTGACATCTGAAGGGATGAGAATAAACGCCAGCTATCAGTCCCTGCAGGCTCTCAGAGCTTCGTTCCTCCCTCCATGGCTTCCTTACCTTCTTTCAGATCCTCCATGCCCAGTCAGCAGAAGCGAGTCAGCTTAGACCTGAGCAGGAAAGACGACATGCCTACCTCAGGTATCTATCATCCTGCCCTAGGCCCCCATCTAGACTCGGGGTGCATTATCTGGGGTGGGGAGACGTGTTGGTGGTACAGCAAGATCCCAGGAACAGCACGTGCCCCTGAAACTAGCCCGTTATTCTCGGGGAAAGGTGGCAGAGAACTCGTGTCCCAACACCTGATGGACAATCTGCCTCGAGCAGTCTGCGCTCTCCACCTCCCTCCTGGTATAATTATCCGGGATTTTCTTCCCCCGCCTCCAGCCACCTTTCCACTTCCCGGCACCACATCCCCACCCCCCCGCCCCCCCCCCCCCGCCACACCTCCGGCGCACACGCCGTTTCCACTTCCCACCCCGCCTCACCGTCCACGCAGGATGCTTTTCTTCTACAACCTCCCAGTTCCCGGGAATATGCTCCCGGGGGGCGGGGCTTCGTTCGAATTTCCTAGGCTCCACCCACCCCCGCTACAAGCGCACAGCGATTGGCGAGTCCACGGGGGCGGGGCTAAGGCGGGAGCCGTCGGGAAGTCAGCCCAAGAATGTTGTCGGGTGGACCTAAGCGTAGTCCCCCAAAAGACTTCATCCGGGGGGCTTCGGAGGGACGGCGGGCGGAGCCGCGGGGGCGCGCGCGTGCCCGGGAGCGCCTCCTTCTGACGGTGTGCCAGAACCTGTGAGGAGCGACGACAAGGGGCGAACCGGCCAATCAATGTGGGCTTGGAGCCCCGCCTCCCCCCTCTCCCTCCAGCATTCCAGGCTCCACTAGGTTTAGTGGCTGGTTTCTTCACTTTTTCTCTGAGACCACCAATAGACTATCTCTCCAGCCCCGAGACACAAGAATTCTTCACTTAATATAAGCCCACTTGTCTGAGATATCTGATATTTCTTCTCTCTGCTTCAACCGCAAAACGACGTGTCTGAGCAGCTATTTAAGAGTTCAAATAAATAATGAACTAATGAAAAAAATTATACGTCCAGGCACACAGTTTAAGTCTTTGCTAAGAAGTGGCAAACTCATAGACAATAATAGTAAGAAAGGGATTTCAGGGCAGATCCTAGGTGCGGAAGGATTACATATAGCTAGAGATCTTGCTCATGTGAAGATTGTATTCCTTTGCCAGGATGTTGGAGATTCTGTGAACTTTAAATGTTGGGCCTGTGAATAGTATAGCAAATAGCAGAGGCTGAGGTTCGACTGATCCTTTAGGGTACAGTCACTGTGGATATCCCACCGCCTTCTGTCCTAGGCCTGTTTCAGGTGGAAGGAGGCCTCTGCTGTTGGGTACACATTGTTGTCTGGCTATGATCTGACCTCTCGCCTCCATTCATCAACACACACACACACACACACACACACACACACACACACACACACACACTCCATCTCTGTCTCTCCCCTTTGTTTATTTGTTGTTTCCTGAGACAGGGTCTCATGCAGGCCTTAAATTCACCATGTAGCCAAGGATGATGGTGAAGTCCTGATCCTCCAATCTCTACTTCTAAGTGTTGGGATTTAAAGGCCGGTGCCACTATGCTGTAGGACTATTTCTTAGACTGACTGCCACCATCTTCAGGAGTTCTGTTGTGCCTGCTTGGAAGGGTCACCACGGCTGGGCCTGTGGACAGTTTACTTTCCCTCCGAGAAGGAAGAGGAGGGGTCAGAAGGTCATGGGGCTCTCACCTGAGTACAATCCACCCCTTTCAACCACTTGTATGCAATTCTGTGCTAATTGCTCTCGCTGTTTGGGGGAGGGACTACAGGATATAAGTGGGGAGAAGGGAGGAGAGGGCATTTCTAGCAGCCATGAAGAAGCCATCATCTCTGTTGGACTCAGGCCTTCCAGGTGGCTGCATTGAGGTCATCTGTGCTCTTGCCTGGAACCTTCAGCCACCGCTCTGTAAGTAAGCCTATTAAGTTCATTGGTTCCTCTGGGTACACTCTGGTGGACTCCTCCTGTTGTTTGTCATTGGGACCTTAGGAAAAGGGGTAGATTTTTTTTTTTTTTTTTTTGAGACAGGGTTTCTCTGTGGCTTTGGAGGCTGTCCTGGAACTAGCTCTTGTAGACCAGGCTGGTCTCGAACTCACAGAGATCCACCTGCCTCTGCCTCCAGAGTGCTGGGATTAAAGGCATGCGCCACCAACGACCGGCGGTAGATGTTGTTTTAAGTCTCTCCCAGGGAAGAACTTTTAGCAACAGCCCCCATTCCTGGCTCTCACCTGCAATCTCAAACAGGTGTTCCATAAGGACATTAGATTTGCTCATTGTTTTCTCAGTTTTCCCAAGGCCGTAGGCATGTAGTAACTTTTTAGTTGGGTGAGAAGCTGATTTATGACATAGGGTAGGTATTGTCACATGGAAGCTTAATTCTTATAAAACTCCAGAGAAGGGCCAGAATAGACTCAGCCTCCAGTGAAAGGAGATGTCTTTGTTTGGAGGGGGGGAGACTTTTGGATTCTTCTCAGCCAATCCCTTCTCAAAAATGCGGGCCAGCCAGGCGGTGGTGGTGCACGCCTTTAATTCCCAACACTTAGGAGGCAGAGACAGGTGGATCTCAGCTGGAAAAACAAACAAAAATGTGGCCCAATGACCGCCCCCAGAAATATTTTCTCTTTTAAGCCCATGTTTCCAATCCTCTGAGTGAAGTAGATGAGAGAAGGTTGGGAAGGCCTGTAGTCAGATCCCCAGCTCTGCCACTTACTTACCAGGTCATGACTTGGGGGTTTATGAACTTAACCTTCTCATTTGTAACAAGAAGATTAAAAGAGAGATACCATTTCTTTCAGTTCCTGATGCAAAGAAGGCCATTTCTGAGCCTGCACTCACACACACTCTCCTGACCCCCTTCCTCTTCTTGCTTTGCTCCCTTTAGCTAGTCACTAAGGTTCTTGAGAACCCACAGAGATGGAAGGGCAGCTTCAGACACTGGTAGGGTCCCTTGAGTTGAGGATCTTTAAAACAAAATGTTACTTATCTTTATGTGTATGTGTAATTGCGTGCATGTATTATATGTGTACCACACATGTGTGCTGGTTCCTGTAGAGACCAGAGGAGGGAGGGCATTTGACCTCCTGTAACTGAAGTTACAGGTGGTTGTGAGACATCCTGTAGGTGCTGGGAACTGAACCCTGGTCCTCACAAGTGCAGCCAGTGCTCTTAACTGCTGAGCCACCTCTCCAGTCCTGAGTTTGTGGCTCTTGATGATGAGTACAATGGGCACATAGGAACGGGGACTAATGTCATCTTTTACAGTTTCCCTCACAGAGTATCTTCAATATATGACTTGTTAAAAGTATGCAAACAAATAGAAGCAAGAGAGACAATATCCTCCCAGGGGTTCTGCCTTCAATTTACAAGTTACATAGGATTGTGTGGTGCTGCTTGGGGCTCTGTAATGGATGTGCATCCTGTTATACCAGCTTACAAAGAAAGGAAAGCTGTGGGGGAAGATGGTAGGTCATCTTCATCTCTTCCCAGTACCACACACCGGGTAGAACTGAATTCAGTTCTGTGATAAATGGCCTGGAGTAAATGGTAAAGTCACAAACCTCAGTGGACAGGCTGGGGATGTGGCTCAGTCTTCAGAGTGCTTGCCTAGCATTCATGAAGTCCTCAATTCAGTCCCTAAGTCCCATAAACTGGAGTCTCAGACCTGTATGTAATCCCAGCATTCAGGAAGTGGAGGCGGGAGTATCAGAAGTTCAAGGCCAGGGTGGAGTATAGAAAACCCTATCTCAAAAAAAAAATTTCTTTTGGAGGGGGCACTTTTGTAAGAGAGTGTGTGGTTATGAAAGAACTGATGAAAAAGAGGAATCTTTAGAGTTCTGGGCTCATCTAGTCTGGCTGGCTGAAGGTCTGTAACCTTCATAAGTTTTCTCTATGTAGAAAGGACATTCTCTACATTTCCCTATGTAGAAAAAACTCCGAGGACATTTCAAGAATTGAGGATCTATATGTTTATTTCATTTAGGCCAAATCAGCTAAGGCTCCTTGAGAACACAGTCTTGTCAGAGTCATGCTCCCAGGGGGCCCTGTAAAGAGAGGGGGTGTTAATAGCCATCACAGCAGACAATCTGCGTACATCCGGGGTGTGCTGAGACCATCTCTCTTCATGGTCCCCGGGTCCAGTGCTATAAATTCACTGCCCACAATGCTTTGCTTCTGAGAACAGACTGGGAGACAGAAGAGAACCAAGGATAAGTAAGATCAACACTGACACAACATGGAATTGATAGAGAGGGCGGGGAAGGAGAAAAATGTCTATAAGCCAGCTGGCAGAGAAAGCTCTCCTGAGGAGAGTTTGTCCATTTAATGCAGCCCGTAGGGTTTTCATTTGCTATGTATCATTGATGGGCTTAAATAAATGGCTCGGGGGATCGAATTCATGCTCAGTTTTCTTCAACCAGGAGCTGAAAGTCAGAGGGAGTGTTGGGAGCTAGGTCTCCGTCATTCTCTCATGGGCTTTCCTTTTACCTTACCCATCAGTTTATCCACAGCATTTCCCCTGTGAATGATGGGGAATTTGGAGCAGCTGCCACTTTCTAGATAATGAACCAAGCGGCTCTTTGCCAGTGATGAGTGGCTTGGAAACCACATACCCGAATGTTAAATTATTGTTGACATTTACCAAAATGATTTTCTTCTGTTGATAGGAAGAAATGTATAAGGTTTAAAAGAATATGGACAAGCTACTTTGTTTCTTACCCTGCTTATGATACTGAGGCAGAAGCTTTTAGCAGAAGTGTCCCTACCTACAGTATGAGGCTCATATCCATCCCAAACTCAATAGCATTTGCCATGGAGACATCATTTCCCTCCTTCCTTACCTTCCTTGAATTTCCTGTCTTCTTAGGGCAGCCTTAATGAGGAGCTACAAAAATGCAGACATTTCTCAACGTCAACATTGCAGAAATCTCTGGGAAACCTTCTCTCGGGGCATTGGGAATGGATGTCCTACTTATGTTTTGGGGGTGTCCATGATGCTAGCTGGGGAATCTATAGTAGAGATCTATAAAGGCCCACTCATTCATGATTCATGCAACAAACATTTAGCTACAGCCTTCTGTGTATCAGCAACTAGGTTGGGCACTGGGGACAAAGCATTCACAGAGCTTATGGTTTAATTGGAAGACAGATCTATAAATAGATAATTACAAAATAATGTGCTGAGCTGGGCATTGGTGGCACACGCCTTTAATCCCAGCGCTTGGAGGCAGAGACAGGTGGATCTCTGGTGAGTTCAAGGCTAGCCTGGTCTACAGAGTTCCAGGACAACCTCCAAAACTACACAGAGAAACCCTGTCTTGAAAAACCAAAAAGAAAAAAAAGGTGCTGGGATGACATGATCATATTTACTGTATATAGGTATGAAAATCTGAAGACTAAAGAAAGATAATAATTTAAAAAATACCTCCCCCCCCTCCCCCGTAAAGCCCAATAATGTGCTACGTTTAGTGATTCCAACAAAGTAGCAGGAAAGGATACATGAATGGATGTCTTAGAGGGGAAGCAAAGGAGTGCAGTGCTTTCTAAGCAAGCGAGAAGGGAAAGATAAATAAAGCCAATGAGCCTCTGCAGCAAATGCAAACACTGATGAGCATCAGTGTGCATCATCTTTCTCTGCCTCCTGATGTGTCCAGATGTGAGGAAGAAGTCTCGTGTTCCTCCTCTTGCTACCACCCGTACCCTATTGTGGTCTCCCCTGCCATGACAGACTGTGCCCTCCAGCCATGAGCCAAATAAGTCCTTGTCAAGTTGCTTCTTGTTGGTTATCTGGTCACTGCAACAGGTAACCCTAGGTACTAATTCTCCTATCTTTACCTTTAACATCCACCCGACAATCCACGGATGCCTCCCCCAGGGCATTGATGGCCTTGCAAGTGTAGATGCCTCCATCAAAGGGACTAGGCTTGCGGATCTCCAGGGAGCAGATCCCCAGGTGGCTGAGGGCTCTGTACTTGGGGTTGCCTTGGAGATCCATCTTGTTCTTTAGCCAGATGATCTTGGGCTGGAAGATAAAGATGAGGGGCACAGAGGAGAGTAAGAGCCAATCGTCCTTCCTGTGCTCCATGTCTGGGACTCTGCCTACAGGCTTATAGATAGCTTTCTACAAGGTTCCCTGCCCCTGATGTTGTGGGATTGGATTCCTCTTTTAGCACCTTCAGCAATGGCCGGAGGGTCTTCTTGTGTTTGAATAGAGTGACGGAATCATACTCTACTCCAACAAATTTCTCCCTGACTTGGAAGAAATTGCTCAAGGAGTCATCGTGTGTTATGACAGGGCATCAAAGTCTACTTTTTAAATTAAAAAAAAATTTTTTTTTGAGACAGGCTCACTATGTAGCCTTTGCTGATCTCCCTATGTAGATTAGGCTAGGCTGGCCTTAGACTCATAGAGATCCCTCGACCTCTGTCCTTGTAGTTCTGGGACTAAAAGTATTATATTACCACAGAGATCCCTCGACCTCTGTCCTTGTAGTTCTGGGACTAAAAGTATTATATATATATATATATATAGGACTATATATATTATATATAGAAATAAAAGCCTAACTGTGGGCTTCACTCAAAAGTGTGTGTGTGTGTGTGTCTGTGTGTGTCTGTGTGTGTCTGTGTGTGTCTGTGTGTGTCTGTGTGTGTCTCTGTGTGTCTGTGTGTCTGTGTGTGTGTCTGTCTGTCTGTGTGTGTGTCTGTCTGTCTGTGTGTGTGTCTGTCTGTCTGTGTGTGTGTCTGTCTGTCTGTGTGTGTGTCTGTCTGTCTGTGTGTGTGTCTGTCTGTCTGTGTGTGTGTCTGTCTGTCTGTGTGTGTGTCTGTCTGTGTGTGTGTCTGTGTGTCTGTCTGTGTGTGTGTATCTCAGGCAGCGGTGGTTTCATGCCTTTAATCCCAGCACCTGGGAGGTAGAGACAGATGAATTTCTGTGACTTCAAGTGAGTTTCCAGGACAGCCAAGGCTACACAGAGAAGCTCTGTCTTAATTTTAAAAAAATAAATAACATTTGTGTGTATGTGGAGAGGCTGAAGGCTGCATGTATAGAGGTCAGAGGAAACTTAAAGATATTAGTTCTTTCCTTCCACCATGTGGGTCCCAGAGATTGAACTCAGGCTGTCAGACTTGGGAACAGGCATCTTTACCCACTGAGCCCACTTGCTAGCTCAGGGTCTCCATTTTTATGTACATATTGTGATCCATTCGTATCCTATCCCCACTGTTTGTGAGTGGTTTGTGGTTTCTGAACCCCCCCCCCCCAATTTGGGAAGTGGTTTCTAGAGTGGTTTTATTACAATTCCCCTCCAGGATGTAATTTCCACACAGTCTGACCTGCTCCTATAACCCAAGTTACTTGGTAAAGGCTGCTATGAGTGTGGAGTAGAAAGACCAGAATTCATGCAGGGCAGCGTGCATGCCTGTAACCCTGTGCAGACAAGGAATGAGGAGTGAATAAAGTGAAACCAGTGGGAATCGGACACTTCTGCCAGACAACTAGCTGGAAGTGATGTCTGTGTGCATGAGGACCCCACTCTCAAAGGAAACATCATTTGCATCCATCCATCTTGAATTACAGACACCCTGACAGTTCCTAAGTAACCTGCTGTCAGGGAGGCAGATGGTGACACTGGTAGCAGATGTTCAATTAGAATGCCCTGTGACATAGCTCAGGTTAGGATGGGACAGTAGCAGGAAGCAGCTCAGGACACCTGTCCCCCAAGCTCCCCACTCACCCTGGGAGAGGCACGTACACAGCAGAAGAGCTGGGTGTCGTAGCCAGTGATTGTAGTGCAGTCTACCAGAGGCTGGGTGAACCTGGGGGCTTCTGAGAGGTCCCGCTGGGCAAACCCCTTGGTCTTGTAAACAGTATCTGTGGGTACCAAGAGGAACCCTATTGTGGCATCTGAGAACCTTGTCCAGCTTCAGTTCTGTTTTTTTTTTGGAACCCTATTGTGGCATCTGAGAACCTTGTCCAGCTTCAGTTCTGTTTTGTTGTTGTTGTTGTTGTTGTTTTGTTTTGTTTTTTCTAAGTCTTGTTAGCCCATGGTCTCAGATTCCTTACCTGCTTTCTGGATGTAGGCAAGGTCAGCTGTGACAGGAGCTGTTTCGCTGAGCCCACATTGATTCTCGGCAAAGACACGAAAGGCATAGGAGTTGCCAACGATGAGGTCAGAGACAATACAGCTGGTGCGGTGATAATGCTCCAGTACCGTGAACCACAGCTGTGGGGTCCCCAGGAGATGTGATGTGTGAGACACCAATGCTTTGGGGTTTTTCTTTTCTTTCTTTTTTTGAATCTCACCCCATGTGGAGCTGCCAGAAGCTCATTCCAGAATGCCTCCCTCCCTTCTTCCCAGATGGGCCTCACCCCAGACTTTTTGTCAGCCTTCTGCACCGTGTATCCCAGGAGTGCTGTATTGCCCGTATCTTGTGGAGGTGTCCATTCCAGAGTAGCATTGGAGCCCCAAACATCCACCAACTTAATACTCTGAGGAGGGCCTGGCTTCTCTGGAAGGGCAAAGCCATGGCAGTGGGCACCATGCAACCCACACGTGTTGGTCTCACTTAGAGAACACCCTGGCTCCTTTTGCTTGTTCAGACCCCTCCCATCACCTACCACCATGTCAGCGAATCTCTGGGATGGCTCCTGTGCATCCCGGAGATCCATTACCCAAACTTACCAATCACCAGGATATTGATGGTGGCAGTGGCCTGCAGCCCACCAAGCTGCACACAGAGTTGGTAGCATCCTGAATCAGCACGTTGGGCTTCCCTGATGAAAAGAATGGAGTCCTGCTCCCCGTTCCTCACACTCACACGACTGTTGTCCAGTGCAGAGCCATTGTGAGTCCAGGTGGTTTGAGGTTTGGGCTTGCCCTGAGCAGTGGGGATAAGGCTTGAGCATCCCCAAAAGGCTCATATACACACATACTCTCCTCCTGTTGCTGCAGGCAGTCTACCCCAGACCCACAGATTATCTTGACATGGAGCTGCATTCCTTAAGCGTGTGTGTGTGTGTGTGTGTGTGTGTGTGTGTGTGTGTGTGTGTTAGACTCCTCCAGGGAACTCCCTTCTTTCAGTGTAGTCTCAAGAGACAGGGGGCTGGCTTTGAGTCTTTTGTGGATACTCGGGGTAGCTGGATAGCTGAGTAGCTGCTCGAACTCCTAAGAACCCTCTAAAACCGAGGGCCCCCAAGACCTCTGCAGACTGCAGGGCCTGGCTTGGCCTTACCTCCTCTCGTGGGACATATCTGTCTAGCCAAACCCAACCTTGGGAGTGTGGAATGGTGGTGATCTGGCCTCAGACTTCCGGTATTGTAGGTCCTCTCATTCAAGGCCAGAAAGACTGTCTCAGTCCTAGTTCTGTTTTCAAGTCAAAATTCTGATCTGATCCCAACATGGGGCTGATGTGATCACCTGGATTGGGATTAGTAGATTCACTGTGTCCCCAACTTTCCGGATGTAAGTCTGTCTCAGGGTCCGAGGTAGCCAGATCTTGGGGTGCTCTGAGTGATAAAAAAAAGAATGGGAAATGGATACTTAAGAGGAAGTGGGTGCTGCATCCAGTAGTGCCCTATGGGTCATGGCACAAGTGACCATCAGATTAAACCCCTATCATAGGGAACGTCCCTAAACCCTTCCATTGTGCTGGGAATCAAAGCCAGCAATCTCTGTCACCAGTGCTCTAGCATTAAGCCGTACACCCATACCCTTCCCATTGCTATGCTGGGATTTGGGGAGCAGTTGGCTGAAGGAGCCTCAGGAAAGGACCGTGGGAGCTGGATGTGGTGGTGCCCACCTATGACCTCAGCACCTAGAAAGTGAGGCAGGATGGACTGCGTGGTGAGGCTTTGTCTCAACACAAGAACTGTCACCTCTCCCAAAACCTGGACTCTGAATCTGATCCTTGTTTTGATTTGTAACTCTCAACCACCAGCTTTCTGAGTATTTGAGTGAGTTTTGTTCTTTTCTGTGTACTGACCATTCATTCTTCACAGCTGGTTGTTAATAACATCGCTGTCAAAGTGAATCATCTCCCAGTCCACACCCTGTCCTCCCACAGAGGCAGTCTGGGTCCCTTCTTTTCATGGCCGCCCTGCTCCCTACACTGCATGGCATTCTTCCCATTGGTGGTAGATCACTTCATTCATGCAAACTCTGGGGAAGACTGGGGCCATTCCTCACTTGCCTTTGCTCTCCAGTAAGTGTTCTTTGGTTGCCTTTCAGGATACAGGCAAGAGGTGCTCAGGGGGCTGCACAGTTTGGAGCCTGGATGTCCTGTTCTCTGGAGGATGCTGAGAAAGTGCAGACATCCCACCTGGCTCACTTGAGGGCCATCTTTTCCTCCTACCTTTCCAGGGTTGCTGTCTCCCACTTTCTCAAAGGCAGTCCCCTGCTGCTTTTATCTTAAGTAGAATGCTACAACGCCTTGGTTCCCATGATAATCCAAGACTTCCTGCCAAAATTTATTCCTAGTAGTTGAAGACATTCCACCTCTGGTACATTCCTGTGGCATGAGTGTTTGACAAGGCATTCCAAGTTTGTTGATAGTACCAATTTTCCTGAGAGTGTATGCCTGTGCATTCATCCCAACACAAGTATGTTTGCTTATAGACTGAACAGTTTAAATGCATACATGGTATAAAGCAACCCTTTACATGAGAGTTAAGAGAAAATAACAGAGGTCCTACTGTGTTCTTTGTATGCCTCAAACCAGTTGTCTTTAGAAGTTAATATAAGCTGGGCAGTGATGGTACACACCTTTAATCTCAGCAACTTGGGAGGCAGAGGAAGAGGGATCTCTATGAGTTCAAAGCCAGCCTGGTCTACAGTGTGAGTTCCAGGACAGCCAGGGCTACACAAAGAAACTGTCTCAAAAAAACCCAAAACAAACAAACAAAAGAAGTTAATACAAATACGCAACACTTGTTGACCATCTCATTTATCTAGTTCTCTTATTTTGCTGTTCTCCCCTGGGTTGGACCTGATTTGGTCTGTATCTTTGAAAGTTGTGTGCTAAGTGGACATGAGTGTCCTCGGTAGGAACAGGGCAGGCAGGGTGCCCAGATTGCCCAGTGACCCTGCTCTGCCTGCTCTCTGCTGACTTTGGTGGCAGGGGGGTGGGGTGGGAACAACAGAAGTGTTGTATGATGCATTCCTTTCCTGTGGCCAACTTGGCCAGCAACCAAGGGGGTTGAACACAGGCAGACATGAGAAAGATTTTTTTTTTTTTTTTTTTTTTTTTTTTGGTAGGGAAGCAATTGAAATTGAAAACGAAGGTCAAAAACATCCTCATCTTGTTGGCCTTGGTTTTTCATTGTTGGGCAAGGAAATAACCTTTCATACTTGCCAAGGAATGGGCTCTTCCATCCCTGTGCTGTCTACAGGGTATGGGGGTTAAAATGATCTTAGTGAGGACTCAGAAATACAAGCCAACAGGAGAGGGGGAAACTCAAAGAGACACTGATTTGCTGAGCTCCAGGCTAGGCGTGGAGCTGTGCCTGGCACCCGGGACTCCTGCCTCCCTAGCTGGGATCAGATGTCCAGAGGACCCATTTTCTAAGCATAGCTCCTCCATCCAGTCTCCCCTGCCTCATCAGTGCCTCCCAAGTCAAGGTGCCAGTGTCAGGGCCTAGTATGACCTCCAGTGACGCAGAGAAAAAGTGGAAGGATAGGTTCAAGGACCAAGAAGGGTTGAGTTGAGGAGGATAGGAACCAGCCTTCATGCTGAGGGATGCATTAACTAAGCACTACTTTGCCAAGTTTCTGCTCAAGACCAGGTCTGAACTTCTACTGATTGATACGAACTAATGTCTGTTTCTACCTGGCATTTTTTTTTTTTTATGTGCATTGGTGTTTTGCCTGCATGTGTGTCTGTGTCTGATCTTGGAATTACAGACAGTTGTGAGCTGCCATGTCGTTGCTTGGAATTGAACCCAGGTCCTCCAGAAGAGCAGTCAGTGCTCTTAACCATTAAGCCATCCCTCCAGCCCCTCTACCTGGAGTTTCTTATTTCTTACAGATATGTCTCAGAAAACGTTAGCTTTCTTTTACCCACGTTAGAGAGAAAAAGGAGCATAAGCTCAGGTGTGCAGAGCTGGGAGGATTTGCAAGGTGTCTTGGGGGCAGCCAGGGGAGAGGAGGCCACAGTGGAGAAGCTGACCCTCCCTGAAGGGCTCCCTGCTGCTCTTCATTTATAAGGAGTCCTGGACAAGATGATGGGATCGAAGTCACCAGGGTGTCCCTGACTCTCAGGGTGAATGGATAGACTCCCCAGGGAAAAACCACAGATGGCCTTGAGAGTGACCGCATGCTGGTTAGCAGAGAGGGTCTGGCAGTGAGGGTGCCCTGTCAGCATTGAGTTCTGTCACCTCCCAAATTCAACCTGGTCAGCAACCTGACCCTTTGCTCAGAGTGTTAACTGAGGGCTCCTTGGAAGCATCTCTCTTCACACCTCCAGTCAAGTGAGGTGCAAATTAGACTGACCTTGGGGAGGTTTCCCCACCACACCCAAGGGCTTTTCCTTCTCAGATGTCAGGAAGCAGCATGACTCAGAACCCAGAGCTCTAAGGCAGCCTCAGTGTTTTTAGGCCAGGGCCAATGGCCACAGTTTGGTTTTCTCCCCTGGTATCCCTGGGGGGAAAGCATTTTGAAATTTCCTTTGAGAAACATTGACTTCTGAGCTGGGTTGCTCTCAGCATTTTCTCTCCAATAGAATGTTGTCTAAGTCTCAACAACTGTAGCATATTTTGAGTCCTAAGATCTTGGTTATCCTACTATCTACCCCAGTTTTAATCTGCTGAAGTTCATGCTCATTTTTGTCTATCCTAATAGGAAATAATTGGCCATATCCTTTCATATTTTTCTTCCACACAGTCAGACTTTTCCTCCAGTACTCTCCTGAGATTGTGTGGTTCATACATTGCTACTGACTATAGCCTGGAGAGAGAGGAAAAGAGCAGATGCATTGAAGACTGGGGTGTGTGTGTGTAAATTTGCAAGTGTGTATGCATGTAGAAATGCATCCATACATACATAAACATACGCCTGTGTGAGTAAGTGGTTACCAAAAAAGGGCAGGAAGTTCAAAGCCATCTGCGGATTTGAAAGTAAATATTTCTAGGGATTCAAAAAGTAAGCAGAAACGTTTGCTGCTACCCAAGGTGTAGCCTTAGAAACCTGTTTGGTAAGTGAGGTTGGGAAGGATGGGTAGACCTTGGAAAATTTTCCTTATGAAGGACAACAGTGTCACCTCTTTGAAGACTATGAAAGCAACGTTAGGAAAACCAAAAGGATAGAGAAGCAGACCACTGACTCTGATGTTACCTGATGGATGTCACAGTACATCTGAGCAGCAACTGCCCCTTCAGGAAAGTTTCCAGTGATGTTGCTGTAGATTAGGAACTATAATTCTCTCTAATGAAATGTGGGTAGAAAGGGTGGGGATTGCTTCAGTTCCAGGGCTTGTAAGAAGTGACTTTTCTGCCCCCCCCCCAACTTCTATCTGTAGGCATTGATCATAGGGCTCCTCAAGTGGCAAAGCCCCCATAGGGAAAAGGCCAATGTCCCTGAATTGCTTTGTGGAGAATGGCCTACCTAATAGGGACACTTATTTTCAGTCCTGTACTAGCAATGAGAAGCTCACGCTTTTCTTGAGGTGTGCTCTTTTGTCAGCTGGCACCCCCTAACTATACTGATGCTTTCCCTTTGCCTTTCATCCCGAACACTGCCGTCCTGCAGCACGTCACTGAGACGTGGTGACCCACCAGTCTCCTGAGCACCCATCCCATGTGGCCTATCACTCTCTTCCCCACCAGCCTGAGTTCAAGGTCATAACACCCACTTTCTTGCATAATCGCCAACTCCTTCATCACACCTCACTTGGCAGTGCCTAATCTTAGTTAAATAAACTTCCCACCCACACAATGTCTGTGTATGCACAGACAAGCATGTAGGAGAAAACAAAAACTTAGCTGACTTGACACCAAAATACAATGTATAAGTGCATGAACTTCTTGACAAATAAAGTGATGTATATATGAGACAGGACACCTTAGAAAGGGGGGCATGATAGCCCCTCCCTTCCATGAATTCCCTCAGCCCCCGAAAATCCAAATGTGAAGTGTGAATATGTAAATGATCTTCGTTATGTAAGTAATTCAAAATATGTTGATTTGACTGGTATGATGCTGCTTCCAGATGGAATTAAATAACTTTTTTTTTTTGAGACAGGGCCTCACTATGTAGACCAGGCTAGTTTTGAACTCACAGAGATCCAAGTGCTGGTATTAAAGGCTTGTACCACTACTGTTCCTGATGATCCTGACACTTCTATCCCACGGCCACAGCTCACTCCATCTGTTATCCCTCTTTCTCATCAGCAGACGATCTTCCTAGTATCTAAGATGTATCCACTGTCTTTTCTAAACATGGTACCTAGAAAAATCCTGAAACCCACCACTTGATCATGTCAGTTCTTATTCAAAACCCTGCACTGGCTGCCCATCATCCCAGAACCAATCCATCCTTCACAGTGCTTTGACTGGATAACTCTACCCCTCGGTCCTAGCATTGTCTCCGTCTCTCACTGTGCTATAGCCACAGTGGCCCAACACATAAAGTACATTCCTGCCTCAGGACATTTGCATTTGTTCTATCTACTGAAAAAAAATAGTTCACTTAGATATCTACTCTATTGCTGTTCAAATCGTACCCTGTTTGTAAGGCATCCATCTGCTCATCATCCTGTCTGGAACATGACATTTGCTTGCCTCTCCCCTTGAGCACTGGGACTCCTTTTGGCATCATCTGGCCCACACTATCTTTCACTTATCTGTCTCTTTCCTTCTATTAAAATGATACCTTCAAGGTATGGTCTAACTGGTTTTTATTTTTATAACTGGATACTGCTAGAATACAGTCTAGCATATAATAGGTAGGGAAGTCAATATTTGTAGGGGAGGAAGGAAAGCACACGTAGGAAGGCTGACTACTCCTGGGCCTGAGATCAGCTCCCATGCCTGGAAGACACTCGGAGGTTCAGATGGGACGCAGGTGCACAGTTGCTGGGAGCAGAGCAATTCTGTTGAAATTAGCAGCTGACCTCTGTCTCGGGGCCCAGCTTCTGCAACTCAGGGGTGTATCCACGTTTCTCTCCTTTAGCTCCTTCAGGTCTCAACTCCTGGACACAGTACCTTCGTGGGCACTGAGGATAGATGGTGCCAATGCCAGTTGCATCATCCTGCTGATTTGGCCATGTAGTTGGACTGAAGGCCCCTTATTGGTCAGTTGCAGCCTGTCCTGATTGTGCTAATGAATTTGTGCCCTCTTGGCTGTCCCTGCTGTCACATGCTCTTTGCAACACCCCTCAGACCCTGTGCCTTTTATGAGGAACAGGCGGTGTTAGGAGCTCTCAGAGAGCTTAGGAGTCATAGGTCCATTCCAGGCATCCTTTAAGATTGCTGGATAGGTTTCAGAGACCCTGTCAGCTTCAGGAACTTTTTTGGTTTATCTTTCCAGGGTTGAGAGCCCACAGCTTTTATAAGGTTGGGGGGGGCATGGTATCAAAGGATAAGATATTGCTCAAGTTCAGCTTTCTCAATTTCCAGAGGAGACAACAAAGGCTCAGAGATGTCCTGACTGACTCTTCCATGGTGGCAGGGTAGAGCTAATATTTGAATTTGTGTTGTCGTCTTTCAAGAAGCTAGTGGATGCAAACAGACTTTACAGTCTGTCACAGGACATCCTTAAAACCACTCCCTCTGTGTGGCGCGGTGCACTCACTAGCTGTGGCCCTGAGGCCTGCAGTACATAGAGTTGCTATATGGGAAGATGGAGCCTCTAGCTGGACCTGGGTTGGGGAGGGCAGGGATTGCCAGAATGAGCTGCCCACATTACCCCTGAGGGGAAGGGAAAGCCTGGTTGAAATGGGTGCTATGCCCTGCAGAGCAGAGACCAGGAGAGTCAGGGAGTCAGCATTCTGGCTCTGCATCTCTGCCCTGGTTTCTCTTGACCTTTTAGGGGAAGAAACTGGGTTTCTGTTCCTGTCTCGTCTTAGTACGTACATCTTCTTCAATGAGATGAACTCCACCAACTCTCTGCCCTTGACATTCAGGCAGGCAGCTCCTATTAGGATTTTCTATAGGGTAAAGAGTGCTTTGGGGCCCTATTTGGAGACAAAACTAACTAGGTTGTCATCTCTTCACTAGAAATGTTCCCATGTTGGTTTAGTCTCTTCTGATGCCAACTGGATTGATTACCTGGCAACCCCTCTAACTGTCCTGCTTTGGGAGATCTTTAAAGTCATTTTACAGAGAACTGAAATGGAACAGTTAAATTGACTTGCCCAAGGTCACTGTGGTGCTAGAGGTCACCCTGGAAAAGGAGCCTGGGACTTGTTGCCTGCCAGTCCATCTTCTCTCTCTCTCTCTCTCTCTCTCTCTCTCTCTCTCTCTCTCTCTCTTTTCTTCTTCTACCTCTTCTCTTCTTGGGAGTTCATGGATTCCTTGTGTATGGTCTCCCAATCTTCTCCAAATTGAATGGGCTATAACAGAGGGAGTTTGTTGGTCTGTGTTTAGCGCAGCCACAGGGCTGCTAAAGAGCATCACGAAGAAGGGAAGAGTCATTTCTCATGCCCTGGGTCTCATGCCCAGGTGCAGTGGAGACATACTTTCTTTCATTGGGCTCCCAGCAGTTTCCCAGGTGAGCTGGGGGAGGGGCTCAGCCAGAACAGTTGGTACTGAGGCAGGTAGCAGGGTGACGGGGCTGGAACAGGCACCAAATAACCTCATCTGGAAAGTAGAAATGGAGTACTTCTCCCTAAAAGGCTCTACTTCCATTCACAGAGCTCTGACTTTGAGAGGCCATGGCCAGATGAGCTAGTGTGGGATATTAGGATAGGTCCCGAGGCTGCAGCATGACCCAGGCAGAGGCTAGGTATCATGCCACCTGAGATACGCAGCCTCCTCAGAGCCATGGTTTTGGGACCACTCTTCTACTAGAGATGTCCACTGTCTCACCCCCACCCCCCCACCCCGTTTCCTTTTCAATTGGCTATTAGTCTACTGGGTCTTCCCAGGACCTGTGACTGTTTTAGATGGTAACAAAAAAATATATAACCGGATCGTTGCTAGTCACTGTAAAGTGCCACATCATCCACTGACTTTTCAGCTAAAGAGCAAGCCTACAACAGAGATATCTGAGTAGCAAGTCACAATTTGAGAAGGCGTGTGAGGGCTCCCATGAATATTCCAGTATTACCCTAAGTAGCAGTTCCTTAAAGTTCTTAAAGCCTGCACACAGGGGTGGGTGAACGCCCACAGTATATTCAGGGCAGTAGGAAGTTCTCCCTCCCATGCTGCTCAGCATCCCCACCTTCCCCGACTGCCTTAGGTCACCTTCAATAGAGGGCAGGAGCTGCGGAGAGGGGCTGTCTGCCTCCTGGGGTCCTTCAGCATCCGCTGGGTCAGCAGCTGCTTCTACCTGCTGCTGGGAACACAAGGCCATCTCCAGTGTGGGGGCTGTCTCCATGCTGGGCTCCAGCTGAAAATTGTCTTTGTTGCTGGTGAGGGAGGGGCTGAGCACCTGCTGTCCAGGCTGGTCTCCCTGGGGTCTGCAGCCACAGGCTTATGTAAGTGGGCTGGCTTTTCCCCACCCACCTACTCCCACTGAAGGGTGAAGTAGGGGCCAGGGGAAGAGGAGGATCAGAGAGTAGCCCAGAATAGCCACAGGAGGGGGGCTGAGGTGGCCCTGTTATCTTGGGAGTGAGATGACACCCCTACAGCATCAGGAGGGAGGGGAGAACTTGAGCACCCAGTATAGGAGAATGACTTCTGTCTTTGGTGGGAGGCGTGAGTGATCACTTCTGCTCCTGACATCCAGCTAATTCAGCAGAGCATAAGGTCCCAAGGCCAGTGAGCTCTCGGGCTCACCTTTAAATGCTCCCACACTCCCTGAACAGCAGGTCTCCACACCTTGGCCTTCATGGGGCCTCCCTTTGCTGTTCCAGCCCCAAGGGCAGGGCAGGGCAGGGCAAGGGTGAGGACAGTTAGTCCTCTGCTGTCAGACTACATTGGCTACACTTGAGCTCTGTCATCAGCTAGCTATGTGACTTATGACACCCCATAGTCTGTCTGCCCCTCTGTGAATACTGGGTCTTGTTTGCCACCTCCCCTCCTCTGTGTGTGTGTGTGTTGGGGCTTGAACCCAGGGCCTTGTGCTTGCTAGGCAAGCCCTCCCCCGATCTCCACCCCCAGCCTCTCATAAGTTGGGTTTCATTTGTGAAATGGAGATAATAATAACCATAGGGTTATGAGGATTAGAAGAGGTAATCTCTCTAAAGTGTTTAGCAGCGTGTAGCTGACTAAGTGCTGGATAAATGGAAACTATTTTTAGGTCAGACCGGCATTTCCCCCTTTGAAAGCTGTCAATGGCTTTCTTCCTATGAGATAAAGCACAAATGAAGTGAGAGGCAGCCTAGTACTGGGAGGAAAGCTCCCCAGGGACAGGGACATGTGACATCTGGCTGTACCATTCAGCCACCAGCTGATGGCTCTGAACCTCAGGTCTGTGTAACAAGAGGCTGATGCCAGGACTGTGCCTGGGATACAATAAAAATGCAGGGTCATGGCCAGCCCACAGCCAGTGCTGGTTTCCAGGCTCATCAGCCATCCTGCTATGCATGTGCCTTCCATCCAAATTATTTGGTTTCCTATCGGATCCCCTTTTCCTAACTCAGGGGCCAGCAATCTTGTATCTATTTAAATCTTTCCCTTTATTTTTATGTGTATCAGTGTTTTTGCATGTATGTCTTTGCATTGTGTGCATTCCTGGTACCTCTCAAGGCCAGAAAGAGGGTGTCAGATCTTCTGGGACTAAGTGAGTTGCCACATAGGTGCTCAGAACCAGACCCAGGTCTTTGGAGAGAGTAGTCAGCACTCTTAACTGCTGAGCCATCTACATACTGCATCCACACTTGAAGGTCAGAGGACCACTTTTGGGAGCAATTCTCTCCCTCCATCTTTTGAGTCACCAGGGTTGAACTCAGGTTTGCCAGGCTTGGTGGCAAGCATCATTACCCACTTAGCCATCTCATTGGCTCCATATTGTTTGTTGAGAGAAGATCTCCTGCTGTGACCTGGTGCCCACTGATCAGGCTGGGCTGTTTGGTCAGTGAGCTCCAGGAATCTTCCTGTCTGTGCCTGAGATTGTTAAATGGCTTGAGGATTGAACTCAAGTCCTGTGTTTGTATGGCAGGTATGTTATGACTGATCTCTCCTGCTTGTGTGTGGGGGGGACTTTTTATTCCATATTTAGCCATGTTTCTATGGAAAAAGTAACTTCAGCTTTTTTTTTTTTTGTCCCTCGTATGTAAAGAATGTATAAAAATCAAATTTAAAAATAGAGACTACTCTGGTCTGCCCATCAGAAGGTCCAATTCAGAGCTGGGCACAGTGGCTCTCAGTTGTAATCCCAGCACCCTGGAGGTAGAGGTGTGAGGATTACCATCAATTTTAGGGCAGCCTGGGCTTTCTGGTGCAGTCTTAGAACTGATGTGGGAGCAGTGAATGGAAATATTGGCTCAAAATGCTACCCTATGGTAAGGTAGGCAAGAGGCCCTTTTAGGCAATGCTTGGAAATGAGAATGCTGAGACTCTGAGGGACTGTGAGAGGAGCAAGCTGACCTTCTAGTGTGCACTTGACAAAGCCACCCCAGGGAACACACAATTTGGGAGTGTAACCATATGCTGTTATGTCCAGAAGTGTAGAAACAGACACTGGAGAAAGTGTGTGGTGGGCTGTTGGGCTTCCAGGAAGTGACAAGGGGGACAATCCTACACACACCACAGCGTGGGAGGCTAAAGATTAACACAAGGACAAGAAAGCTAGAAAATGGGCAAGCAACCTGTTCGTTTGCAAGTAATTTCAATTATCCACCACCCTTCAAGCTACAAGTGCACAAGCTAGCTTCAAGAGAGAAGCATCTATCAGATGCTTCTCTGGTTGCTGAAGTTTTGAAGGTAGAAAGCTAGAAAAACTCTTACTAAGAAACCGTAGCTTACTCATCTTAGTAAGTTAGGTACCAAAGTCCAGGCTGTTTTATTGCTAACCCAAATATTGTAAATATACAGAAAATTACCAGTACAAAGTTAAACACATCCAGATTTATTTACACAATGTTAAAGAAATTTTTGCGTTTTATTTCCATTTTGTGGGATTTCATATGGGGTCTGGCTTTGCTGTATAATTGACACAGGTCTTTTGAAACTTGATAATCCCACCTCACATGCAATGTTCTGTCCCAAGTGGGCAGAAATCTGGAGTTTTCAGTGCACATGCAGTGGTGGTCATGATCCTGCTTTACACTTTCCCAGGAAGGCAGCTGCCCCTCACAGCCGGGGGAGGGGCCACATGCTCAGAAAAGGAACAAAGGACAACAGGGGAAGACAACAGGCACGTGGGGACCCTGAGCATTTCTGTGCATGAGGATAAGGAGAATGCAGCCCAAACCCTCATCCCTGGAGGCTCAGAACACCAAGAAGTGGCAGAACCTCCAGGGGACAGGAAGTCACCAGACCACAGCGAGGGCATATGGAGGGTGAGAACTGCACTAAAACTGGGCCCATACTGATAAATCATTAACATGTACACTATACAGTTTATACACATTCTGTTTCACACACACACACACACACACACACACACACACACACACAGGTACAGATTAGCTTGTGTTACTCCATATAAACAGATGCAGAAGAATGTACTAGTGTGAAAAGTGCACGCAGCAAGTCCTTGAAGACAGTTTCAAGTTAGTGCTCCAATTCTTACTGTTACGATGCATGGAACCAAGAATCAACCTGCACCTGTGGCTTCAGTGACTCCACAGCAACCTGCACCTGGCAAAGCACAGGCCGACAGGACAGACAGCCTGGTACCTGCTTGCCAACTCTGGGCGTCCCTGTCACTAAATCATATGGCAAATCTTAAACTTTGGTTTTGTTCCAAAAGACATTTAAGTTCACATTACTTTTCCCTCTGGGAGGAAGGTGATAGAAAATTGAGAAGCTGCACCCCATCCTATTTTAGCAATCTTTGTGCATCCCTGATGAGTGTGGATTTGAGAGGGCTGTGCCGACAAGTGGATGAAGCCTTTGCCAGTATGCATAGAGGCAGGGTTCTTCAGAGGAAATTAAGACTCTCTACCTATAGGTTTACTTGTAGAACAATATGAGAAATGCCATGCCAGCCCTCTCATTGTGAGGCTTGGTGGAATGGCCCTTGGGCTTCTCTCTCTATCCTGGTACCCTGAGGAAGGGATGGTTCAGTATAGTGTATCCAGCCATGGTTTATAGGCCTGGCCAACAAAGGAGCTGAGCTGGTCCCTAATACAACACTGCCAGAGTGGAAAGGCTAGCGTGGGCAGGCAGGACACTAGAGGTAAGCCCAAGAGCACAGGTCTGCTGCTTCAGAGGCATTGGGTTCCAAGGCTCAGTTGCCCAGACTGACAACGCTGCCATCTCTCCAAAGGCCTCTGCTCCGCTGAGCAATGTCTGTTCAATTCACAGCATACGCACATCCAGCCCTGGCCTCTGGTCTCAGGGAAAAGTCCAAGGCCCTAGGGTCTCAAGCAAAAAGGATGCCTTGGATTTAAAACTCAGGCCACTGTGGACTTTCTGGTATATGTGGCTGAGCTACCTAACAATGCTAAATACTACTGCTCAAGTCTCGAATCAATCCTCTCTGCCACCACAATGCTGAGAATAATGGTATGCTCACCAGTGATGATGCTGGCACACTCACCAATGATGATGAGGCTCCAAGGCTGAGCAGGATAAACCAAACCAGAAATTTTTTTTTTTTTAAAGCTATAAAGATCTTAAAAATCTTAAACCTCTGGCTGGGGTTGCATATTTGTGAGTGTAACTGATTCTGAAAGAGCCTACAGAGTCTGCTTTCTAGGGATAGAAGTGAGAGGGTAGAGAGGAAGACATATCCGTGGAGACTCACTTCCTGTGTTCCCACTGGTGACTATCCACCAATGGAGAGGGGCGCACTGGAGTGCCACAGCTTTTTATTTCAGCCATGACACAGGGAATAAAATGTTGTTTCCTAAAGAGAAAACAAAAGGGGCCAAAATAACACTCTGAAAGAACCTAGCAACTACCTTCCTGCAAAACCATGTCTCAGAGTTCTGAAGACCCCGGGTGACTGACTCAATTTTGGCTCCTGTGCTCTCTGGCAAGAACAGTGGACAGCTCAAGACAGAATCCAAATGAAGTGAGCCGAAAACTGACAAGTTCTACAGAAATCCCAGATACAAGCAGAGGCAGAAGCAGTCAGTGTTAACTCCATCTCAAAACTAGTGAACATCGCCATACATTGGCGTGTCCCCCTACGTCAGCCCGGGGATGTGCTGGGAGGGACGGCATGTGTTGGAAGTAGGTCTTTCCCCCTTGGCAGGAGGTGAGGGTGGACAGAAACTCTGGTAAATTATGAGCTGGTATATCTTTGGAATTATTGTAAATTTT